TGTGGCGACACTAGATGGAAATTCAGATTTTGTGGAAGTTTAATTTTAGTAAATTGCTCAACAACGCCACCCTGGGAATTTCACCCAGAGATTATTACCTCTTGTTTAAGGCACACAGGTTCAGTTATGCATAGATTAAAACATCTGAGACCGTTTCAAAATTATAAAAAAAAACGATTAAATTCTTTTGAAAAATGTTTTTAAAACCAGTTTCTTTTTAAAAATTAAACTAAAGAAATCAAAGGAAATCAAAGAAAATAGAAGAGCTGCAGCAGTTGAGGCTACCGGCCGGAGGGGGGCGCTATGGGGACGACATCCACCAAACACAGCAAATCAAAAAAAAAAACCTTTAACACCAGACGCAGTGAGACAACCCAAACTCTAGAATCACAGCACACAGACGAGGAAGACACCGTCACCACACCAACACCGGACCTCAGCAACTGCAAACAAAGAAAAACAGACAATTAACCAATATAACAATATCAGCCCGACTAAATAAACAAAAAGGGCTGTGAACAAAAGTATAAAAATAAAAATCAGACAAGACAAGTTAAAACATTAAGACCAAGCGTGGCCCTGCCACAGCGGGAGATGAAACGGGCGCGCCGATGCCACACCCTAAACACCGCTCCAATCAGGGCGGATAACGCCGCCACAGTCCAACTTCAGAACAATTGTGCAGAAATCCGGGAGATTTACGTAGCCGGCGCAGAACAACGCCGAACAGGTCCGGGAAACGAACGTAGACAGAGCAGGTCCGGGAAACGAACGTAGACAGAGCAGCAATGGTTCAACTGTACGAAACCTATATAAAAAAATGTGTCACCATTTTAAATAAAACTAAAAGAAATTGGAGCTTAGATGAGTGTCAATTTCTTACCTGCTGATCCACAAAACATGCACACACACTCGCAGACCGAGGAAGAAAAGGAATGCAGCGCAGTGGCGTTTTACCTACGATCACACTTTAGTTTAGATTTTCTGACCAAGGTCAGCTAAAGTGCAGGGAGAGAGAACACCTACCACCAAAACATCAGCGCAACATGCACCAGCCAGCGATTTGTTGCTTTCTGCTGCCAGAGTCCACCGTAGCAAGCCACACAGTGGGAGAACAAAGACGACACATACCTGAATGAGCGCCGCAGCTCCCCTATATACACCACGCCCACTTCAAGAACCGGAACTTCTCACCTGGAAACTATTTGTGTGAAATTATGTATATTTCTATACCACTACAC